GGTGGAAGTGTAACAAGGTCATGTTATATTGGAGAAGGGTGCATGAAATGTTTAAAAAAAAAAAGTTTGATACCGCTACCATTCAAACCTGAAATGTTTTCACTTAATATTATGCCTGATGCAAAAGATAAGAAAGTTAAGCACTTAATTATACATATAGTTATGGCAGCAAGATTTCTCTATGCTAAGTACTGGAAGAAATCAGAAATACCAATGGAAAATGAACTTTTGACAAAAAACTTCGAAACAGCAGAAATGGATATATTGTCGAACTTGTTAAAAGACTGAAGTAAACAAAAAGCTAGAGATAATTGGATACCATTTTATGACTGGGTGGAAAGAAACTTTGAAGACTACGAACAATGAATATAACCATTATAACTTGGAGAAACTTGAACTGTACAGAACTTGACTTTTTTCAGGAATCATAATAGAAGATTTTAGTGATCTGATTAAGTGTCACTAGCTTTAGTAAACATATACATGAAAGAGATCTAGAAACAAAGAATTAAGACAGAAAATTTGTAACAGCTATTATATATTGCTGACTTGTATGTTCTATGATGCTCTTACAGCATTGTTTTCAAATTTTTTTTGAAATTTCACTTTCTGCATTGCTTGACATAGCAAGTCTTCTGCTTCATTGCACTTTTCCAATTTTTGTAATCCTAGTCCTATTGAATCACTTATGAGATCTCTCATGCTATTCAATTAGAAGAAGATATTAGATTTATACCCCACCCTTCACTACCCAAAGGAGTCTCAGAGAGGCTTACAATCTCCTTTCCTTTCCCCTCCCCACAACAGACATCCTATGAGGTAGGTGGGGCTGAGAGAGCTCTTTCGAGAGGTCACACCAGCAACTGCATGTGGAGGAGTGGGTAATCAAACCCAGTTCTACCAGATTAGAGTCCATGCTCCTAAACACTACACCAAACTGGCTCTATACCATGCTTTTATACTGTGTAATCCACCAGGAGTCTCTAGTAGAAAATTGGTAAATAAATAATAAAATATAAATAAATAAGGATGGGCTGACCACCACAGTACTCAGTTTGGTGTGGTTAAGAGCGGTGGACTCTAATATGGAGAACCAGGTTTGATTCCCCACTCCTCCACATAAAGCCAGCTGAATGACCTTGGGTCAGTCACAGCTTTCTCAGAGCTCTCTCAGCCCCACCTATCTCACAGGGTGTCTGTTGTGAGAAGAGAAAGGGAAGATGATTGTAAGCCACTCCAAGACTCCTCTGGATAGTGAAGGGTGGGGAATAAAACCAACTCTTCTTCTTCATTTGTCCCCCCATAAAAAAATTTCTGGCTATGGGCCTGCCTTTGATAATAACGGGATGATATTCGCATGGGAAGGAGTCATTTTGTTGGCCCTACCCATGAAATTTCTTCCATCTGTATGCTATCAAATCAACATCAAAAGAAGCTATGATGGAGAAATGTCTCCCACATCTCTGAAGTAATGTATAAGTCTGTACCCCATTTCTATTCTGAGTTCTGAACAGGTGTTTGGACAGAAAAGTGCTACAAGAAACAAAAAGATGCATAAAAACGGCTCAGATGCAGGAAGATTTCTGCTCCTAATTTCCAGTCCATATTATGACTGTTTTAAAGGAATTACTCTCAAATGTGGAAAAACTTGACTAGAAGTTTCAGAATAAGAGTAATACAGAATAAATGCAACATATCTGAATCTTGTAGGCATCCACCGAATACCTGTAAATTCAAATAATTATCAAATTCTATTAATCATAAACAATCACATGTACTAATTATGACAGCCCATTCAGCCACAAATATTTCCAATATTTTTCTTTATTGCTTCATTAATAGTCCACCTTTCTCAGAATGACTCGAGGCAGATTTTAACTCCATGTTGAATAAGTCCCCCCCACCATTCCACTCCAAAAAATGGTGAGTTCATGAAAGTATCCAGCAGGATAGCTGCTGGTCCTTAACTTTCCTGCTTTTTAAGTCTTTCAACATTTATGGCTTAGATGTTCCCAGTCATCGCTTTAAGAATGCAGCCTTTTAAAAAAACACACAACAAACCTTTATAGCAGCTAACATTTTACAGTTCTGTATAACCCGTGGGCTTTGCATCAGCAGTGTGTCTATATAAATGTCCATCAGCTGTAATAATGTTTATGTACATTAAAAAAACAGTAAACCTTTAACAGCTGACTTAGTCATTATGGCTACGCTGGTGCATCCTGCTGAGAAGTAAGATATAAATATGAAACACTGGAGGTTTTTCTTCCCTTTTTACAGTCTTTTGTAGAAGACCAAAATGACACCATCATAGAGTTACATAAAAGACTTGACAGGTATTGATTTAAAGCAAGATATATCAAGTGGTAGCGCAAAAAGGATTTCATGGTCATAAATTTTAATACCTTCCAATTCTACAGCCTCTCTGTAACTTGTCAATAACAACAGTTTGGTTTAAAATATTTCCCTTGTTTCCAAACAATGTCAAAGGCCATTATACAGTTGTTTGGATACATACGGGGTAACAAAAGGCAACCCAGGGGCCATAAATCTAATGGTGTATTTGTTGTTGCTGTTGCTGTTGTCATAGTGTTAAAAGTAAATGTGATTTTTAATATTTATCCTGATTGTCATCACAGTGAAGCATCTGCCTTTACAACAAATAATTAAGATCAATATTTTGAGCTGTCCTCCTTACAGTGCAAACCTTTCTCTCGAAATATTACTTTTGTATGTTTTATACTAAATAACATGTGCAAAAGTGAGCCTCAAAATCAGTACATTATTACAAGTAAAATAGTGAAAATAAATAAACGTTTAGCGTTATAATTATACTTTTAAACTGTTCTTAATTTTAAAAGAGCATCTAGTAGAACAACCTAAAGTACACTACAGTTCTTCAGTTTAATTTTTTTTAAAAACAATCTTTGAAGGATTTTTAATGTGCATACTCCAGTTAGTACAAATGGTCAAAGAATTAAAAATAAAATGTAATAAAGCATCTTGTGGTATAACATTGTTAGGGGAAATAGTGTCTCTCTTGTTTCTATACAATAGGTTTCAATTTTGTTCTTTTTTTAAAGTCAAGAATTAAACTATTAGGACAAGTTTTTTATTGCAAATGTTCTTACAGAACAAATAATGGGAATCTATTTTTCCTTATCCACAGCAATTTTCTGTCCTTATTTGAGCTTGTGATTTTACATTGTATGTGTTTCTGTGTGTACCATCTTGAGCTACAGAAAGGTGGCATAGACAGATTTGAGACAGCTGAATGTATGTATTCGTATTTGTTGCCAATCATTTTGGGAGGATTCAAACCAATTTAAAATGAACACATTTCCCAAATGATATATGACCTTCATAATATGAAATATCTACACATTCACAGCACAACGGCACCTTTACATTAAAGCGGAAATTTCTGAAGTATTTTTTTGTTCACTCAGAAAGGTTGGTCTTGGTGCTGCCTGCGTTAGCACTTTATTTTCACATGAACTAGCTCATTGTACTCTTTCACCGACCTTGCCTTCTCCCCATCGCTCAAAAGTGTGCCAGATAGGTGTAGGAATCCATGTCAATAGAAGCTCAATAAAAAAGAAGACATTTGCCAAGAAAAGAATTATCCTCTACATTTTCCTCTTGCAATACGCATGTGTGTTTCTACCAAATTCTGCTCTCACGTGTTATCCCCGTCTCAAAGGCCAAACTGTGAAACCCATACAAATATTGAATACAATTCACTTTGGCAAAACCCATTAAAATTAACAGGAGTTGCTCAACATCACTGCTTTCAAGAGGGTGAGGAGAATATATAAACTTTTCTCTTTAAAACTAGACCTTCCTTCCATCCCTCTCTCTGGGCACCAAGAGCCAAGCAAAATTGCAACAAAAGTCTTAACTGTTTATATGAAACCCAGCCACCCACTCTGCTTTGATCAATGAATTGTGGCTGGTTTGATGTCCACTTTTCTGTTGGATTTTTCCCCCTGGTTGTTCAGGTTTTTTTATATTGAGCATAAAATGTTGTGATAGGTTGAAAAGTATCTCGCCATGCCTGTCTTGCATAAACAAGACTTTAAAAAAACAACAAACCATATTTCAACGTTTCTCAGATCAGTCTTTATCTTGTTAAGAAAGCATCAATGAAATTTTTAGATTTTGTTTTCTCAAGAAGCAATAGTTTATGTTGTAGCATGTCATGGGAAAAATGACATTTATGAAAGTGCTGTTCATTCCTATAACTATCATTCTGACTATTCTAATTGCATAGTTGAGCATAATTAACCAGCTTATAGTTATTTTTAAGCATCTGTGTCAGAAAACAATCCATACAGTACGTTTTTTTAAAAAAGAATTATATGTTTCTATAGGAGATTTGAATGAGATATTTGTTTGTTCAAGAGAAAATAAGAAAAACCAGCAACAAAATCTGCCCCCATACCATTATGAAATTATTTCTTTAAACGGTTTATATTTTCAATAGAACAGGAATTCTGCTCCTTTTGAAATTCTGTTCTGGTTATATCGATGTCTTGTGGTATATAGCTGGTCAATAAGTATTGAAATACATAATCAAGTCAAGTCAAGTCAGCCTTTATTGGCATAAATTAACAGTACAAATTATACAATTTTAGTATTGAAATACATACGTTTTATGTACAGCACCTGCTTCTATACTGAATTTTATTCAACATAAGCTGATTTGGGAGACCAAAAGCAAATAAAACATGATCAAATGGTTTTTTAAAATAAAAATCAAGTAAATCTTTTTTAAAAGTTTCTCAGTTTATAGTTACTTGTTTTGATTTAACTGCTTTGTGGAGGAGTCTGGGCTACTCGTTGTACAATTTTTAAAAATGAAAGAGATTAAGTTAGGGAGGAATAAAACTTAACTGTGAGAGTCTGTGCAATATTTAGGAGCCTCAAGTGATTGGAACATTTTGTTGGAACATCTGCTTGTTAATGCTTGACTCTGAGGTTATTAATCTTCTTTGTAGGTAAGCAGGTGATTCACCCTAAGCAAATTGCTGTTGTCCAGGAAGAGTTCTCACCAAGTCCTGAAAAAATAAAGTGGGCACAGGAACTGATTGCTGCCTTCGATGAACACCAGCGCAAAGGGAAGGTAAACCTTTTCATCATGTCATTCGCAGAATACAGTCGCTGTTCAAACAGAAGGGTCTTGAATTGTAGTATTAACATCCTGAAAGGTAAAGTAACTCTTATATAGCATCTAGAATATAACGTTTAAGATTTATTCCAAATATAGTAACGTGTTATTTGGGGAAAGCATTTTTATATTAAATCCTATCAAGGCATTCACTGAAATGGCATTTCAATTGGGTGTTGAATTTTTTTTTGGTCTCTGCCCTTTAAATTAATGTAGGTTGTACATATCAAGGTATCTATATAATTGAACTAACAACATTGCTAAAATATTTTGCGGAGAAAATGGAAAATCATTCACATGCTTTTTAGTTTTAAGTGGTTTAAATTGCTGGGATTCTAACTTGCCCATACTTAGGGGTAAAGTTGCCCACAGTATGTGGCTCTCTACAGGATGGGACTTCTGTTCTTTGGAAAGGAGAGATGGTATTTTGTGCATTAGAACTTATTTTTGGACTGGCGGTTTTTTGGATGGAAAAGAAAGTGAATTAGTGCTGGAATATGATTGTTCCTAATTTAGTGCATCATTGAGTCTCATGTTTCCTGCTCTGTGGGTTTCTGATATGTAAACATTGCGGTGGAAGAGCACAATCTGTCTTCACTTGGTGCCAGTAACACTTAAATTAGGGGTCGCCTGAAGGAAAATTGTATGCTAGCTGCAGCATTGTTAGCTAATTATCTTAAAGGTTATTTGCTGTAATGTAGTTTGCCACTTTTGTTGGGGGGGAGAAAAAGTTGCAATTAACTGTGCTTCTTCGCCTTGTGAGCCAAATCCAAAACGGTGATCGAGCCACCAAAGTTTGGCCGTCCAGAAGTGCAGCAGAGAGAATGTGTGATTCAGTGCAATTTGCACAATACTGAGTTGCCGGGAGGGGGGAGGAAATCTTAGCACAGTTGAACACACACACACACACACACACAAACTAGAGTTATGCAGATGTACTTCTTGCTGCCCCTTACAAATGCCATTAACACTTGATTGATATTTGAAAACATATTGTGAAGGTTTCCTGTGTTTACCAGCTGACCCACTAACACAATATGATCATTACGGAAAGAAAGTTTGCACTGTTTTAACAAGAGATTTGCTCAGTACTTGTTTGGGTTTGTTTTTTTTAAAGGAAATGCTGAAATATATTCACCTGCTGTTCTATCTTAAACCATAGTTTACTGCATAGTGGGACATTGAAAACCAACCTGAACATTCGTTTAAGATTTACTCGAATTAAACTATCAGTCTGCGAGTACAATCCAAAACAGAGTTAATCCCTTCTAGGCCCCGATGAAGTCAGTGGGCTTAGAAGGGTACAACTTTGCTTGGGAATGCACTGTAAATCTCTTTTGTTTTGATCCCTTCTACTTACATATGCTTAGTGCTTATTGTGAATGATATCCAAGTAGAAAATACACCAACAGCTCTCCCCCCTTTTCTCAATACACCTGTTAGCAAGCATATCTCAAGGCCCATCTGCGTGTATACAGTGCCAATGGAGTGTACATATGGCAGCTAATATATTCCAGGGACTTATGAAGAGCACACACACAAAAAAGACAATGCGGGGAACGCTAAACCAGGCAGACTATTTATGTTTGCAGCGTTTGCATTGTCAGGCCATACATACAACGTTTAAATGCCGAAGTCTTTCTGGTCTATATATATTAGCAGATTCATGTCTGGCATCTATGGGAACCGAAGTATTGTTTTCTACGTCATTCCAAGAAATTTCTAGCAGATCTAGACATTTCCCTTGATGGCTATTTTTGAACAAATGACTTGTTATTAGGGGTAGTTAGCGAAGAAGATATAGCTATCTATCAGTTTTGCCCATTACCTTGGATTATAAATTAATGGGAATACATAGGTTCTTTGTGACCTACTGTTACCAGCTAAGTATTTCTAAATATGACACTGGTCCTTCGCTGTAGGACTAAATCTTGACTTTATCAAAGTGAGTGAGAGCTTTGCCTTTGGCTTCGGCAAAGGCGTGGTTTCTCCCAGTGAGGTGAAACAGGATGCTGTCTAATCAATGTTTCCTAAAACTCTCTTATCTGAATTTTCAAAAAATAAAATAGAAAAATCTGACAGATGAAATTCCTTGCCAAGCTCGACTGTTTAGTTTTCAAAACAGTTGCCTCGCATGACAACAGACTTGTGGCACGTCCCGAAACAACACATTTTGGAAATGTGTGAATCAAAAAGCAGGACAGACATACTTTAATGATAAAACCAATAAACTGAACAAGAAAATAATAATCTTTTGGGATCCCTACAGCATGATCCTAGCAGAGTTGCTCCCTTGTAAGTATGTTAAGGTCAGCAGAGGGTATAACTCTGCTTAGGATTACACTTCTAGTCTTGAAAATTCTGATGTTATATTGCTATAAATTCCTTATAGGAAGACAAAGTGTATATCAAATTGCCACAGATGCTGCTGTTGCCATCTCTGTTTCCCTCAATTTTTCATTTTAAATGAAAGATTTTGTTTCGGTGAAGCCAAATAAAAGTCTAGGTTCATACTATTAAGTTTTGTGTATTGTTTGTATGTGTGGACGTTATTAATCAAATCTGAAGGCCTGGAAAGAACTGAATGCACATGATTAGAGGAACTAGTTTTGCTCACAGAGAAATTGCTGGGCTTGAGCCTCTGGGATCACAGTTTGTTGTTAATTAGTGAACAAAGTTCGATGTTCTCAGTCAACGAGAGTTTATATTAACATGCATCAATCATCTCACACAATTTATCATAGTTTGGAAGAGAGGACAGCGTTCACTGAGGGAACCAAATTGTATGCACAATGAATCATAAATGATTTGATTTCAACGGTATCACACACTCCTGAAAATCAGTAGTACATGTAGTAATGCTGTTTTCTGGTAGCAACTTTAACAGTAGTAATGCTGTTTTCTGGTAGCAACTTCAATTTGCAGGTTGAACTCATTAACAAAATGTTTTTGATTGTTATAATGGTGAGAAAACAGAGTTATAATACAACCTTTGAAGGAATAGAAGGGATAACTGGATATTGACGCAGCAACATGACATTTATACTAAAGGGTATTTATTTATTTATTTATTTTATGTCAGTATTGTATTGTTAGTGCCTAATCTAAATGTTACACACTCCATTATTGTCTCTGTTGCCACAACGCACACACCCCAATACTGGGAAAGCACAACAAAAGATATATCTAAATTCAGCTTTATCATCTTGGTTTTGTTCTCCCATTTGCTCTAAGGTGTGAAAAGCATGGGTTTTTTTTAACTATTTAAAAGCATCATTCAGTTATTACACTGTAAATTAGCTTAAGCTATAAGTGATAGCAATAAATACATTCCAAAGTAATATTATTCAAAGGAAACTTTAAAATACATATTACTTTTTTCACTCAAAACGATGCTCAGAGTAGCGCACCATTAAAAATATTAGAACCATGTACATGCAGCCTGGACTTATAGTAAGCATGGTAAATTCAATAGAACTTACTGTCAAGAAATTCTGCATGGCTTTGCAGCCTTTAAAATATATAAATTATACACAGTCTATTTGCAGTTTGAATAGTTTTTATTACTGTACCGGCTTGCACTCCTGCAGCTGAAAGCAATTTAAAAATCCACAGCTGAATGAATTTTCAGTCCTTTTCAGTGGAGGACACTAAAACAAAGGATTTTCAGTGCAACCTTAAACAGAGTGACACCCTTTTAAGTCCATTGAAGTCAGTGGCCTTCAGAGGGAATAACTCTGTTTAGGATTGCACTGTTATCTGCCTAACTCAGCTAAGGAGATCTGTGTATGTGAGCAGGTTTGTACTGCACATAACACTACCTGGACCGGGAACCACAGACACCCCGGATGAGGATGCAGTCCATCCACAAGGTATTGCTTTCAATCAGATGTGTATTCCGGTGTTAGTTTGAATGTGTATCCCCCCCCCCGTACATGTGCTTGTACAACCGGTCACAGGCTGACACCTTATTTACATGCAATTTGCATTGGGTTGAATTCACTACATTTAGGGTAGAATTTGACTCGGTGAAAGGTGAAGAAGATCCTAAGCATTCTAAAATAAGTGACGAAAAATATCTGAAAGAGTTTAGAGACAAGACATTGTGCATAGCTTTGGATGGTTCTGTTCTGTTTACTTGTGCTATATCTTAAACTGGGAAAATGCAAAAAGTATATTTGGGGTAAAACTGACAATGTCCGTTGAGTAAAGGCTTTGATCACGCTTCAATTCCTATCCCAGTTGGGTCCTGAATAAAGACAGGCTGGCTGTTTGCGGTCATTCCATCGGACTGCCTAATGAATTCAGCTTCCTGGGATTCTCTTATTAAAAACAACCATGTTTCCAGGTATGCCTTCAGTCTGGGCAGTGCCTGGTAAATCTCTGTGGGCGAGGTTTCATAGCTGTGCGCAGTGCCCCTCAATGAACAGAAACAAAATAAACCTTGTAAAATTGTTACAACAAGCTGGAAGCCCATGAGGAATGACAGGAAGGGGGAGCAATTTGGAAGTCTCCCCATCCCCAAAAGTCTATAAGCTGTCAGGGGCTGATACAGGCTGATTTCCACCCCCACCCCCCTTTTAACTGATTCTCAGAGAGGGACATATGTCTCTTTTTTGATATGTTGTTGATAAGGTTATTTTAACGGCTGGCATTCCCAATTTATTTATTTCATTCTGTTTTCTATGCCCTCTGTGTCCTGCATATACCTTATATTAGCCAAACAGAAAAATAATATTGCATCAACTGAATGGGGACATGAGAAAACAGAAAGACAAAGGGCAGAAACAAAACTGAAACAGGGTTTTTTGGGGGGGAGTCAAAATGGTGGGGCTATGAAATTTGGTAGCAGCCCTCCTGGAGCATACTCAAGCTTCATCAGATAGTGCGTGTGTGTGTGTGTGTGTGAGTGTGTGTGTGAGTGTGGTGTCTTTTTTCTTTTGGTTAATTTACAAAGTCCTCTATACAGTGGAAATCCTCTATGAGTGGTTTGATTTAGCTGTTTTCATAACTGGTGTGAAATACCCCATCTACGACTATCTGTACACACACACACACTTGGACTGGAGGGGAAAAAATGAAAAACACTTGTATCAAAAGGTCCTGACATGTGAGGACATTTGTGTTTATTTTGATTACATCTGAATGTTACACAATAATGTCACGCCCTGTTCTTATCGCACGTCTTTTTGACTCTCGCTGTTTACAGCTTGTTTCTGTATTCTATGTATGTGTGTGTGTACCTGCTGAGGATTCACCTCACGCATCTGGTGGTGGGCTCTTTATGTCACTGAAATATTATGCTAAAATGAAAACTTGTTCATGTTTAGGGTGCCACAGGACTCATTTGTTTTCTAAAACAGAATTAATCTCATAATGTTTGTAGTTCAAAAAAGTGGATTCTATCTACACTTTGAAAAATTCTGCCCAGAGAGTCTTCTGGCACTTTGTTGTGGCATAAATTTTCATGGGTCAGATCTCACTTTATTTTAGTGTTGAGTATCTAGAAATCAGTTTTAGTTAATCATCAGATTAATATACTTTGTAATGTGCGCATGTTGCTTTACCTGGATTTTCGCTGCATGTATATGAACTTGGGAACGAATGAAACTTAACTGCTACCATGACTGTGGTATGAAATAAGTGTATTTCCAGATTAATGAGAAGCTGCTTTGGGGTGTATATAGGTGGCCTGTTTCCAGAAAGATCTGAACGTATGCAGAAGTACAGGATAATGCAAAGGAAAAAGAGTAGCCAATATGTGAGTCTGAGACTAGGATTTCAGTGACCCAGGCTGCAATCCCCACTATGCCAAGGAAGCTTGCTGGGTGACATTGGGCCAGTCGCACACTCTAAGCCTAACCTACCACACAAGGTTGTTATGAGAATAAAATGTAGGCTGCTTTGAGTCCCCATTGGGGATAAAGGTGGGGTCTAAATGAAGATAGACAGGCAGGCAATGGATGGATGGATGGATGGATGGATGGATGGATGGATGGATGGATGGATGGATGGATGGATGGATGGATGGATGGATGGATGGATGGATGGATGGATGGATGGATGGATGGATGGATGGATGGATGGATGGATGGATGGATGGATGGATGGATGGATGGATGGATGGATGGATGGATGGATGGATGGATGGATGGATGGATGGATGGACGGATGGATGGATGGGTGGACAGACAGTGGATGGATTGAGATAGATGATAGATAGATAGATAGCTAGATAGATAGATAGCTAGATAGATAGATAGCTAGATAGATAGATAGCTAGATAGATAGATAGCTAGATAGATAGATAGCTAGATAGATAGATAGCTAGATAGATAGATAGCTAGATAGATAGATAGCTAGATAGATAGATAGCTAGATAGATAGATAGCTAGATAGATAGATAGAGATATTGCTCTAAAAGCCTTAATTGGTTCTCACTACACACAAAACTATGACAAAACTGAAAATATATATGGATGGATAGATACAGATGATGGATGGATGGATGGATGGACGGACGGACGGACAGTGGATGGATTTAGATAGATAGATAGATAGATAGATAGATAGATAGATGATAGAGATATTGCTCTAAAAGCCTTAATTGGTTCTCACTACACACAAAACTGTGACATAACTGTGAAAATATATATTTTCAAACCTGTGTTAATTATGGAATAACTTGCAATAGCCTCTTATTAATGGCTACAGTCCAACACAAATTAAGGTGTTCTTAGATTCATTAAATCAATGGCCTTACTCTTTGTTGATCTGTATGCGAAATAATAATCTACACTGTCCGTGCATCATGGTAACCTAATGAAATAAATGAAAAAGAAGATCTTGTGGTTTTTTGCCCTGTAGCATCTTCAGAGGTTCAGAGGTTACCCAACTGTTTCCTTGAACAGTAAATTGGAGCCATTAAAATTAAATTACTAGAAGTCCTTCATTAAATTGCATAATTAAAACATAAATTTTAAGAAGCATTCCATTTGAGAGTTCTGGTACAATCAGACA